ATCTATCTATCTATCTATCTATCTATCTATCTATCTATCTATCTATCATCTATTATGTAGATAAGCATTTTGCCTACACAAATGTCTGGGCATCATGTGTACAGTGCCTGTGGGGGCCAGAAGAAGGCGCTAAAGCTCCTGGAACTGGAGCTACAGACAGTGGTGAGCTTTCGTGTGGGCCCTAGGTACTGAACCTGGGTCTTCTGGGAGAGCAGTCAGTGCTCTTAACCACTGAGCCATCTTTCCAGACCCTTAGAGGTTTATTTAGTTATTTATTATTTTTATACAGTATTCTGCCTGTATGTGTGCCTGCAGGCCAGAAGAGGGCACCAGATCACATTCTAGACGGTTGTGAGCCACCATGTGGTTGCTGGGAATTGAACTCAGGACCTTTGGAAGAGCGGCCAGTGCTCTTAACCTCTGAGCCATATCTCCAGACCCTAGAATATATAAAAATATGCCTTTATAAAAATTTAAAAGGACTTTTTGATGGAAGGAGGGATGTAAACAGCCAACTATAGAAAAAGACATTTAGAATCACTAGCTATAAGAACAAAATCAGGGCCTCAGCAATTTTCCCTCCATTCCCACTAGAATGGTTACAGTAAAGAACGACAATGATGAGCATTGGCAGCCTCATGTAGGGGCTGGAACCCAGCCCCTGGCGAGGATGGGAACTATTGGGGCCACCTTAGAAAATGGCCCTGTGGGTCCTCATGGAAAGTGTCAACCTGTGGATTAGCCGCTTTTCTCATCACTGTGACACCATTCCTAAAAAAGAGACAGTAAACAGAGGGAGGGTTTCTTGGGGCTCACGGTTTGAGGAGACAAAGTCTATTATGGTGGAGAGACATGACCCCAGAACCAGCTCATGGTGCCAGTGGGAGCCCACAGCTGCTTGCTCACACCACCAGGGATCAGGGGACAATGGGAACCAGAAGTGGGGCTGGACTATAAATCTCAAGTCCTCCCCCTAGCCACCAGTTTCCTCCAGCAAGGCTCCAGCCCTGAAGATTCCCCCAACTTCCCCCAACAGCACCAACAGCCAGGGTGGGGGTGGGGTGCGTGTCTCAAGCCGGAACACTGTGCAACCCAGTGATGCAACCCAGCTATGGCTCTGAGCTGTAGACCCAAGAGAACAGAAAACCCAGAAACTCACAATTTTCAGGCTGCCCCTAAGCATCATGACGCCAAGGTGGAAACAAGCAAAAACGTCCAGTAATCGCTGGAGACCGAACGGACTCTGGTATGGCTGTGCTATAAATGCTTCCGGCCACACCCCCTATGGACCTCGAAGATGACACCGGGCGGAAGAATACAGCTAAAGGTGGCCACGAGTGCTGTGGCTCCATTTACATGGAATGTCTAAGACTCTGGAGATGGTAAGCGGGCTCATGACTGTGTGCGGCTTGTGAGGCAGGAAGGGCAACAGACATGGATGGGAAGGCTTCCTGGAGGAGGGGTTGGTGAAGGGTGTATGTATATTCTGCATGCTCTGTGGCAAGGCCCATGGTTGCAAGGCTCTTGAACAGGGTTAGTGAGGAAGGCAGCAGCTCATCTCTAGACATAGAAACTGGGACATGTAAAGTCAATCAGCTTGGACTTCCCCAACTTGGAAAGCCTGGCCCACCTCGTCCTCTTTCCCCAGACCCACAGCTACCCAGAAGAGACTCACACATTTCCATCTTGCTTCCCGGGGATGGCAAGCAAGCCTTTGTATTTCTGCAGGGCTGGTGATGGGACCCCAGGGCTTTGCACACGCTGAGCAAACACCTCGGAACCCTGGCCCAGGCCGAGCAAGACCTCTGACTCCCTGACTTTGCCTTCCTCTCTTGGCTTAAAGTGGCTCGTTCCAAGTGATGGCTTTCTGTTGTGGACTTAAATCAGCAAATTAACACTGGCGGATAGGCTTTGGTTATGAATTTTAATGCCTTCCATTCATTCGCAGTCCAAACAAATTACGTATCTGGTGCTTTATTTAATACGTTTATTGCCATTTTATTATAGTCATTGGCAATGAGAAAGCATAAAATATTAATTTAAAGAAGCAATCACACAGATTATCTCTTAAAGCGGCGTGCACGGGATGTATTCAAAGGCATCTGATGTGCTTGCTGCTCCCTAAAGAGGAAACGAAGCGGATTTTTCCGTGTGGCGTTGGCGTGGTTGCGGCGATAACGCATACTGGGCAAGTCCTCTACTACCAGGCTGCTCCCCAGCCCTCCATTTGTTCCATGATTGTTAAAAGCATTAACTGGCCCTAGAACCGAATGTGACAGTCCCAGCAGCCTCCTGACCCTTGGCAACTGTCAAGGGTAACCATATCCTACAAGCACTCAGGTCACAAGGCCAAAGGTGTCCCAGGTGGCCAGGTTGTGAAGCTGTTTGCTTCAGAATAAAACACCCCTTCCTGGAGGTGTTGGGGTAGAGGGAAAGGAGGAGGAAGGAGGGAGGTCCACAGGCTCACGACACTCACCAGAAACCTATGAGACTCGTGAGAAGCTTGTGTAAGGTTTTGTAAACGGTAAACAGCTCCCACAGGGAGATCCAGGATTGCAGCTCTCCTGAGCTGCCTGTCACCCATGCCGAGGTTCGGGGATTCTCAGCGATGCTGCTGTCTGAGTGACCCCATCAACACACTAGTCTGCAGACTAGACTTACACAGAACCCCCTCTTTAGTCTGTCAGTCCGTCCCATCTGAGATGAACAAAAACAGCCTCCTTCGGGCTGGAGAGACAGCCCAGCTGTTAGGAGCACTGTTTACTCTTCTAGAGCACCCAGGTTTGAGTCCCAGCACCCAGATGGCGTGTCACAGCTATCTATAACTATGGCTCCAGGGGGTTTGACACTCTCCTCTGGCCTCGATGGGAACCAGGCACGTACATGGTACACACATGCATCTATGCACACGCATGCGCGCACACACACATAGGCAAATCACCCACACACATAAAACAAAGACCAAGTCTTCCCGAAGCCATCACACAGTAGAGCTGAGAGGCCGATGACGGCCACCAATAGCTCCCCATTCACGCCTCGCAGGCACACCTTGGGCAGATCTGTGCGTCAACACTTGGTTTTTCATTTTCCAGGGGTTGTGTGTATATGTGCGCTTGTGAGTGTGAGGTGCAACTCAGGACAACCTGGAGTGTCCTTCTTCACTGGCCCGGTATGTGTTGATTAGGTCAGGCCATGTGGCCAGTGAGCCCCGGGAATGTCTCTGCCTCCAGCGTGGGGCGCCCAGCGCACAACAGTAGATAGTGAAATACAGCGTGCTCAGGCATGGTGGCAATGGCACTCCTAGCCCTGTTTTTAGTTTTGTTGCTGTTGCTGTCGTCTCAGATGAGAAGACAGAGGTGGCTCTGCAGGGTATAACAGGCCATCGGACAGCATGGCTGTAGCCTTGACATTAAGGAACGCTGAATGGGAGAGCCGCTGGGCATGTCAGCAGCAGAACCATAGGGGCGGAATAGGTACAGAGAGACCTCAGAAACGTTGTGTAAACTGTCACTTCCCGGCCTGGTCTCTCACCAGCGACCCCTAAAGGGGGATCATGGTTACTGCCGGCACCTGCCTTACACAGCCATTGGGGTGGATCGCCAGGGAGTCCCAGCAGCGTACTTCCACAATCCATGGTTTGGGGGCAAACTACTTCACCATACACTGTGTTTTGCGCCTGAGAACTCGTGGCTGGGTGCAGAGGTGCTGTGTGACCCAGCGGAAGCCGCCACAGACACCACTCAAGTTGTTAAAACAGGAAGCAGCCATGTGCTCACGCAACCCAGAGTTCGTCTAGCTGACCATGCCCATCATGGCACAAAGCGCCATCAGACGGTGCCGATCCAGGGACACACACATGGGAAACAACAGCCGATATCCCAAGATGCTCCCCTCCTTCCCCGCAGACTCAATTTGCTCCATCCACTCCGGTCACCAGACACAGCCCTGCTGTGCTCAGGGAACAGTGCTGGATCGCGCCTCCGACGCTGACAGGCACAGAACCACCCGTGTCAGCCTCCCCACCACCTCCTGTTGCTCCCCAGTGGTGACCAGCCTGAAACAACCCCCTGAATTACCTTAGAGGTCAAGTCTCTAATGGGTGTGGGGCTGTCACATACTCTTGCTCATCCAACCCCAGGGGTTGCCCTGGGCTCGACAAGGTGGTCCAGAGAGCCCCCATCTCAAGATGCTAATCCTGCCTGCCAAGTCCTTCTCACAGCCAGGTGCAGCCGAAGGCACCGGGGTTAGGATATGATATCCACAGGCACATTTTGCCTTCCACAAGTGCCTTTTGCACTGCAGGCCATGAGAGCACACAGATGGGGCTTACCCAGGATCCCCAGGGGGACGTGAGGAATCCTGTCCTGATGGCCCAGGAAGGACAAGGACAAGTCTGAATCCCACTAGATTTCCCTTAACCTCTTCTCAGGGCTCTCGTCTTGCATGGGTCGTAAAGATGTCCAGGGCTTTAAGTGAAAAACCAAATCTCATGCAAGTTTCTAACATGGAGCGATTGACTGAAGTGAACCATTTAACCTGTCTCGGGCACCTGCCACACAGCCCTCCTCCTCCTCCTTTTCATTTATCTATTTTTATTTTATGTGCATTGGTGTTTTGCCTGCATGTATGTTGTGTGAGGGTGCCAGGCCTTGGAGTTAGGGAGTTGTGAGCTGCCATGTGGATGCTGGGCATTGAACCTGGGTCCTCTGAAAGAGCAGTCAGCGTTCTTAACCACTGAGCCATCCCACCAGCCCCTGGCCCAGCCCTTTCTGAGCACACTGTGAGTGACCTGATTACTTTAGCTGCTTTAAGATAAAACATTGCCTTGGATTTCCATCAGCCAGGTCTACTACCAAAGCAGGAGACCCAAAGGACAAACTCCCGACCCAGATGGAAAGGCAGATAGGATACTGGATTGGGGCTGGACTAGCGGTGCCTGTGTGACTGGGCACAGAGGAAGGCTTCCAGAGGAGGGGCCCAAGATGAGTGGGTAAACACTAGAGGAAGATGACAGATCCACTGAAGATCTGTCTCACTAAAGGCCTGTGAGCACGTTCCCCTTGGAAGGCGAGAGGAGAGGTCCTAGCCAGAGGCCTGAAGGGCAGAACTTAAGGGTGACCGGAGAGCTCTTGTCCTCTGCCTGGTCACATGAGTAGTGGGCACTCATCCCCTCAGTGAGGACTCTCTCCTGTAGAGTTAAGCTTAGCCACTGGAGGCAGAGGACCGGGGCAACCTCCCAGGACACAGAGGGTCCCCGCATTCAGAGTAGCAAGAGTAGCCTTCACCCTCCATCACTTACTATTGCAGGCTGACGCCAAACTGCTGAGTGGGCAGAGGCGGCCGAGGTGGTGGAGTCTTGGTGGGAGGGGGCAGCTGGCCTTTCTGCAGGTTTTGCAGCTTCTCATCATACCTATGGACACAACAGGAGAGCATCACCTCACAGGGGGCAGCCTTTTAGCCGTGGAAGCCATCTCCAAGTGCTGTGTGGGGGATCGGGCCCCGATCAACAGCAACAGGACACCCACGTAAACTCTGGTTTACGTTTCGGGCATCCTGGGCAGGGCGCTGGCACCCTCAGAGAGAAGTGAAAGGCTCAGAGGCAGACCAGGCTCGGGAGCCCCACTGGAGCTGGCCTGCCCGGCACAGGCCTGAGGCCGGGGCTGCTCTGCTCACTGGCCCTGTGCTCTGGCTTGCCACAGACACTTGGGAAGGCATCCAGCGGAAGCCAAGTGCGATGCCGCTAGCTGTCCTGCACAGTCCCTGTGCCTGCCACTCCTGGAGTATTTCATTCTACACACGGCTCATCTGCACACCAGGGAACCCCTTTCATAGCCGGCTCAGAAGCAGAACCGCAAAGCCGTGCCTCGATGTGGTTTTTTTTTTTTTTTAATCAATTTTGCACTGTCAGCGTCAAGAGCCAGAGCAACACTGCACCCTCCCACGGCATGCAGCCTTCGAGGCTTGCGCTCCTGAACATGTGTGTGGATACCGGACCACAGAGCCGTGCCCGGGAAAGGCGGGCACTCACCGCACGACTTCCGGGGGTACCAGCAGCTGGTCGCCCTGAAGGTGTTCCCGGAGCTCACGCAGGTTGCTGCAGTAGGTGACTTTTTTCCCAAACTTGTGACTGAGGGAGGAGAAACAAGAGAGTAAGACAACGGGGTGAAGGAGAGAGGGCTGCACGAGTTGGGGTGCTGGACATATGACAGACTACGCACTGAGACCCAGGATGGGGCAAAGGCCCTGGAGGCTCACCTGCGTGAAATGGTGCGTGTCCAGTTTGAACTGGCTGTGAATTTACATAGAGCAGAGAGCACAGGGGCGCCTTTCTGTGTGGAGTGGGTGGATGTGTCTTAGTTTCTTTTTCTGTGATAGAATACTAAGACAAGAGCAACTTAAGGGTGAAAGGGTTTATTTTTAGAACAGAGTTCAAGGTGTAGCCCGTCAAAACAGCAGGAGCTTGAAGCAGTGGGTCACATCAGGTCCGGGGCAGCAGAGAACGCACGCATGCATGCCGCTGCTCAGTTCCCCCTCTCCCTTTACACAACCCACGACCCCTGCCCAGGGAGTGGTCCCACCCCCAGGTGGCAGCTGGGCTTCCCACCTCTGTTAATAAGATAGTCCCTCACAGGCAAGCCCGGAGGCCCTTCTCCCAGGTGATTTCAGGTCCTGCCAGGGTGACCTTGATACTGACCATAACTGTGTGCCAGGCTCAGAGGACCAGCAGACCGAGCCTGCATGCCTGGAGACTCCATGGTCCCAGGTGAGTGGCGGTTTTGTGTTGGGCCAAAGGGTAGAGACCTTGGGAGAGTCGCCGGGGGTGTTTCAGGAGGATGTGGGGAGACAGTACAGCCTCCGCCTGAAGTTCTATTCTCTCCCAGGGATCCAGGACAGCCATTTGACCTGCCAAGCTCAGGTCCCACTGATACAGACTCAGAACTTGAGCCATCCTGCGGACTTGCAATGACTTCCTAAGGCTCAGCAATGCCAGATTCTGCTGCCTTTAGAACAATCCGTGTGTTCTCCACACTGTAAATAACATGGAATTATCTAACTTACCGCAGCCCCACCCCACCCCAAAATAAATCAAGATCACAGGGGATGATGACAGGTGGGAAACCCCTGGGAGCAGAGTAGACTTGAGTCCAGTGCCAGCTCCAGCCTAAATGAGTCCGGCACCCCAAGAGAGGCCAAGGCCTGTGCTCTGGCTCCCTCTCGTGGGCAAGAGTAGATCAGACCTGGGAGCTAGATTCCAGCCACAGGAAAGACAGCTTTCACAGAATGCCAGGGAACCTGGGTTGTGGAGAGCATGGGCCCTGGGCCCTGAGGAAGGGTTGGGATAGATCTTGTGGGTCCTCAACCACCTGTGTACGCCTATAACAGACAGCTAGGGAACAGTCTGGTCTCTGCTCTGGGGACATTAAAGGACGACAAAACATAAGAAAACACCCAGCATGGTTGGGCTTCCTCACTGTCACGCTCAGCTGCAAAGGACAGGCTGGCCCAGATCATTCCCTGAAGAGGGTAGGAGCCATGTGCCAGGGTCCCAGCTTCTGCATTTACAGTCACCCTGTTGTGTAAACTGAAGCCCTTCCTGGGCTTTGTAAACTTGACGGTGGCCCTGGGGACCAAGATGCAGATGCAGAATGTGGGCATGTGGGCCAAGGGGTATTTAAAATATTAGCTGTGACGTCAGTGTCAAGGGCCAGCATTCCTGTCCACAACCTCAGAATGCCGAAGCACATGGCCTGGACGGTCATGTGACCCCCATGAAAACCTCTAGATGCCTCAGGTGCAGACACTTATGGAGCCCTCCTATAGAGGTGCATCTCAAAGAAGGTGATCAGGGTCGGCCGGGCTCATGCTCACCTGATGAGGGGCTTGAAGATGTTCCACACAACTTTGATGAGGCCGGTGGGGTGCACAACATACAGGGCCTTCAGGTTCTTCTTGTACCTGAGGAGGGAAAGGTGAGGTCACTTCAGGTTCCCCAACCCCAGCACTCTGAGTGACTGCACAGCAGGTCCGAGATGCAGAAAACCCACTTCTCAACAGGCTCGATTAAAGGACATGGATTAAAGCCCAGAAGGAACTGGGGGTTATAGGGGAGGGGGTGCATGCCTTTAATCCCAGCACTTAAGAGGCAGAGCCAGGTGAAGCTCTGTGAATTTGAGGCCAGTTTGGTCTATGTAGAGAGTTCCGGGCCAGCCAGGGATGCACAGTGAGATCCTGTCTCCAAAACAAAGCCAGAAACCAGAAAGGGAAGGGGCTAGGGAGATGGCTCAGTTGGTAAAGTGGCTGGGGACCCCAGAACCCACGTAAGAAAAGCTGGATGTAGTGGCACGAGCTTGTCATCTCAGTGCTGGGGAGGCAGAGGCAGGAGGATTCCTGGATGGCCAGCCTAGCCTCCTGGACAAGTTCTAGGCAAAGGAGAGAGCCTGTCTCAACAAACAGGATGGATGGTGCCTACGAAGGAATGATAGTTGATGTTAACCTCTGGCTTTCACACACACACACACACACACACACACACACACACACACACACACAC